CTTTTACCTCTAGAATTTAACGTGTTGAATTTCAACCGGTGCTGCTTACTTGTTATGCAATGCTCACACAAAGTAAGTGATACATTTGTTAAGCCTGGAAGCGGTTTTTGCTCCACAAAGACTTTCATTCCTTGTTCTGACATGTGTCCAAGTTTCTGATGCCATAACATTACAGAATCTGAACTACATGAGGCAACAGAGGCTTCTGCTTCTAGCAAAGTCTCTCCCTTCAGTATTACCAGTTTGCAGCATCGTTTCGCCTTTCATCACCACAAGCGCTCCATTGAACACCTTCATGATTCCTTTCCGTGTTTCAATCTTGCTAGCATTAATATCCAACATTCCGTAGGATAATAAATTTTTCTTCAGGCCTTTCACGTGCCGCACATCTTAAACATATTTAATTTGATGGTCCTCACGCCAACGATCTCTAAGGCATGATCATTGCAACTATACACATATCCTCCTGAGATAGATTCATAATGATGGAACCATTCTCTTCTTGAGGTCATGTGATATGTTGCTCCCGAATAAATGAGTCATATATCTACAAATCATTTTATACCTTCCACGGTTGTTGACGCTTTACAACATAGAGCATCTCCATCATCTGAAGTGTTTGCGGTATTGCCTTATGGATTGGAGTTTTTATTTAGACTCCAACAATCATTCTTCAAGTGACCCTTCTTTCCACAGTTGTAGCACTTTAAATTCTTTTTTCTTCTCAACTTTGATCTACTATGTTTGTGACTGTTGTTTTGGCCACGTTATGTTGATTTCACTCTCATCGTTGTCAACTCTTCTTCTTATTACAAATTTACTTGTCTGTCTTCCTTTTTCTTGCGCCGATTTTTTCTTGTAGAACAGCAGCTGCAACGTCATCGAAGACTAGACTTGTGACATTAAATTTGATGATTAGTTGATCATACGAATCAGGTAGACTTTGAAGTAGAAGTTCTGCACGTTCTTGTTATCCTATTGTACAACTTAAGGATGTAAGCTGAGAAAATAAAGTGTTTAGTGTGTTTAAGTGCTCTGTCACTGAAGTATATTCTGGCATCCGTAGAGTGTATAATTTCCTCTTAAGAAAAATTTTATTGTGCAATGATGTGGCCTTGTACAATTTGGTGAGATGATCCCATATCTCCTTAGCTGTCTTCTTCTCCTCGATGCTTGACAATACTTCATCTGCTAATGCTAGATGAAAGTTTGCCATAACATTCCCGTCTATCTCGTTCCATTTGCTTTCATCTGTGAAATCTATCGGCCTTTCACTGATAGCTGCTAGACAACCGTCTTTCCTTAGGATCGCCTTTATCTTCAATTTCCACAATGAGAAATTTCTCCCATTGAACTTTTCAATATAAAATTTCGTTGCCATAGCTTCTATTACAGATAGCTCTCACTATTTCACTATCGTGAATAGTTCTCTGAAACCTTCAAAGAATGGGTAATACCTTCTTACTTTCTTATGTTGGAGGATCAACCTTTTGGTGGCAACCACAAAGATAATAAGTAACTCTAATATGACTCTTGATACCAATTGTTACGGAATACGACTATCAAATAGAGCAAAATTGCAATTGATAATTTAAAAATGAAGATAAAGAAGACACAAATTTTACGTGGAAAACCCCTAAATAATATAGGGTAAAAACCACGGGCAACGGTAAAAGAATTTCACTATGAGAAAATAGGAATTACAATTTCTCTTGATCTAACAAGGAGAAAATAATTACAATTCTCTCTTGATAAAAAGGAGAAAACAACTCTCAAGAAACTCTCTAAATTCTCTAGTATTGGGATAAAGCTATAATGATTTGGGATGGTTTTAAAGCTAAATGGGATAGGGTATTTATAATTGAAGCTTAAAGACTAATCTTACAAATACCCTAAATTTTGATAATTATCCTTAACCAAATTCAACAAAAATGTCTAAATTTGACCATTTAGCCGCCCCGTTTGTTGATTCAGCCGCTCATGCCTTGAATTTTCAACACCAACCCCATTATCAATAACCATATCCCAAACCACTGTAATATTTCTAACCTTTTGCAGGGACTTAGATGTGCTAGGTTGCCCTACAAACTGCGGTTCCCCATCCGCTTCCAAAGTTAATTGATAAGTGACATTTTGTACCCAATTATTCATCATCGGTCGGTTGAACATTTGAGATTCAGTTTGCTTATTATTTTTAAAGCCCTTAAGAATGTTTTCCTTCCCAAGTTTAACCCCACTCTCACGAGCTTTGGTTACTTTACTACCATGCATATTCTTATCCCCCATATTCGGTTCCTTAATAGATAAAGCAGTGTGCTTCCCACCTCCAGTTCTCATAGCATGTTCCACAACTTCCACAGTTTTTACATTCATCATAGTTCTCACCTACCTTTTTAGTCGTTTTATTTTTCTTTTCCGGATTAAACGCCATGTAGGTCGCATTACGATTAACCACACGTTTTTGAACACCTTGGACTAAATGGCTCGTCTGCTCTACCATTTTAACCTTTTGTGGAACTTATTCATCACTCGATATCAGGGTTTCAAGTCGCGGTCGCGTTTTCGGTTATTTCGAATTTACTGTGATTGCGGCCATCGCAGACGCTATTGCGGCCATCGCGGGTAACTCAGACAGCGGCAAAACCGCTATATCGCGGCCGAAATCGCGGTCGCGGACCGTTTTTTAAAACCCAGCTCAATATAACAACACAAACACTCTTTTCCCTTACTGCCTAGTTCGTATCCCCTACTTCTTCCAAAATAGTAAAACGAGATCCTTTATTACCATTCCTGACTCCCTCGTTGGTTGTCCTTTGCTTAGGTTTTTCAACAATTCTCTTCTTACGACTATCCACCACCATCCAAGGGCCGTATAAACCTTGCTCCACTTCAACAGTCATACTAGACGCCACATGATCTTCGACCACATTATGATTATCGGTCTCTTTTAGATCCTGACCTTCCTTACAATAATTCTTTGTATGACCATAAACACCACAGTGAACACATACCTACTGCAAATTACATTCCTTACAATAATTCTTTGTATGACCATAAACACCACATTGAACACATACCTACTGCAAACCTTCATATTCTATTTTTTGCTTGAAACCATCAATTACACGATTTAAGAGTTTTGTTTAAGTCCACCAAAACCACAAGCCTCGCAAATTTTCCCCTCTCACCCACTTGTGTGTTATAGTCTATCTTAACCACATTACCAACGACAGTAGTAATCAATCTAAATAAAGCCTTTATGTAGTATCTATACGGTAATCCCGGCAAACTGACCCAAACAATAACCTGAGAAGGATGTCACTCAGACGTGGAAAACGCTCTATTCCAAGGTTGGACCATTAAGTAACTCCCATAGATAGTCCATGGCCCTTCAATTAACACCTTGGTGTAATCTCGTTCATCTGCAAATTTAACCAGGAAATAGATATTGTCAAGGTCTGTCAAGTGAATTTCTCCGAGAGGCTTCCAAACCGCACTAATACGGTTCCACAAAGCCTTATATCCTATCATACGACCAAGAAGCCTAACATTATAATGTTCCTCATGTTTTTATCAATCTGCTCATGCACTCTTTCAGAGAATTTAATCGTAGGATAAGCACCAGATCGATCAATAACAAAATCCTAGTCAAGCACAATCACTTCATCATCGTTAATACCACTCTTTAACGTCTTTTGCATCTTGGAAGGATCAACCACCAAACTAGCATATGTAGCCTTTCCACTAGACCCAATTATAGCAGGCTACTTATTTCCTTCCTCTTCCACCGCATCCACATCAATGTCTACCTCACCAGATTCCTCTTCCATGGCTTCAGTATCCATCTCCTCTACTACCGAGGCACTCCTTCCATTACCATCAACCGTGGTATTCTTCACCTTTTCAAAATGCGTTGAGAACCAGGCTTCTTCAAAGTAGACGATAGGTTGAATTGGGTTACCCCCTTACAGTGGTCTGCCGCCGGGATAATAAACGATATTGGGCGGCACATTAGTGTTTTTGTTAGGGTTTTCACGAGCATTATTTTAGTTTATATTACTTTCTCATTTTATTAACTCTACAAAAATTATAATTAAATTATTATAATTAAATTATTATGTGATATAATAAGTTCTTTATTCTTATATGATTTTTAACATATTCGCTTCTTTTTGAAATATTTTTTGAAAACATTAAGAATAAGAAGATAAAATCTTGAATATTTTACAAAAATATTTTTTTTAAAAATATATAATAATTAATTATGAGGGTTTTGATTGATCACATAACATAATTAAGAGATTATTAAATATTTTATTAATCCTTTATGCACACAATATATGGTTTTTAGTAAGAAAGCTTTCTTAGTTATATCTTTACATCATCGAGGGATGAAAGAATATTCGTGCTATAGAAAATTCGGGATGATAAAAATATGTTAATTGCTTCTTATACGTGTGTAGTAACCAATTTTTGGTCCCTACATAGCTTCCATACATTGATGTCCCCCATGCACAACCCATGCCCTGTTGTTCCCCACTAAGTGTCATTTCCAAACCCAACACCTTCCCATACCGTGCAAGTCCCATACCTACCCATCCATCAAACAGTGACATAAACAGATATCAATCAGAAAAATCCCAATAAAATATAAGAGCAAATCAAGTCTAAAATCCCGAGGGATTTATCAAATCTATCAAGCATGCAATAAAAGAAAGGGAATGAGGAGATATCAAGGACATTCGGTGATGGTTAAAAAAAAAGGGAGAAAGAGACGAGGGAGAGCATTCGAAGAGAAAAAAAATACCCATTCGAAAAAGCAGAGAGATTCATAAAAAATCAGAGAGTATAACCATCAAAAATAAAAAGAGTGAGAGGAGACTTACCTTTCCTTCATCGGACAGCAGTTGCGGTTTCCTTGGTCCATCGGAGTCATCCTCGTCAGTTACTGTGTGGGTATGATTCTTTCTCTCTTTCTTTCTTACCTTCATGTCTTGAAAATGGGGAGGTATAGGGAGAGTGAGAGAGCACGGCAGTGGAGGGAAGAGAGAAAGTAAACAGGGAAAAGAGAGAGTTTAAGGTTTTAGAAAAGTTAAATGAAATTTGGGGGGAACCAATTCAGTTTCATTTTAGGGCCATGTGTTTGGTGTGAAATGACACCGTTTTGGGTGTTATGTTTCTCTGGGTCCATCTTGTGGTGTAATCATGAGAATGGGGTTGTATCTTTGTAAAGTTTGTATTTCAGTGCTTTCTTTTGTAAAGCTTTCATTTAGGTCATTGAATGAAATTTATTTCCTTTTATTTCGAGTAGTTATTTATTTGTACTCTTATTTTAATCCTCTTTTATGATAGATACATTATGAAATTATTTAACTTTGGTTATTACATTATATGTGTTTATATTTTAGCCTATGATTGCTTGCATTCATACATATATGGTGTTTGGATTTTGGCCATGGTATTTGCGAGACTTTCATTTTAGTTCTTGAGGTTTGTTTAAAAGATGTGTTTAATTGGTGTTGTAGATCCTAGATTTTAAATTAAATTTGTTTTATACCCTGCTTTTTAATTTCGAACATTAGTGCCATTGAATTTACTGCACATTTTGTTACTTTCTTAGTCAGGTTATTTGACTTTAACTTATTCCTTAATTTAAGCCTTTTATAATTTATTTATTTCATGATTTTTTTTTTTATTTTTTCTTCTGCTTTTTATATATTTAGACTTCTTATTATTGGTTATATATATATGTAAGATGTTATATATATGCAGGTGTATTCGACCCCAATATATATACGTTACAAATTGTGTTTAATTTCATTTTTATTTTAGGTACAAAATATATGTTTGTCAATATTTTTATTACTTGTATCAGATTCCAATATCTTGTAAGTATATTATCTGAATAATTTCAAGAATCGATTTGTAGAATGGACGTGGAAAGTATCACTTGATCGAAGTGGTATAATCCGATACGACGTTCGAACGAAATGGAAACTCGAAATAAATTTAGTTTGTTTTACTAATTAAATTTTATTATTCAAATGATCCAATACGTTTTTTATGTGTAAGTTATTTTATGCAAATATTGATTTTCATTTCAAGTTCGATGCACATATTTATCAATGAGGAGAGAATATTCTTTTACTGATAAGAAATAATCGAATTGGCTTTCCCAACGGAGGATTGTTAATTTGGATATTTCATTTCGAGTTAAAGAATTTTTCCTAATTAATTAATTTAAAGTAAATTAATCAATGTTCAATAAGCGGATCATTTTTTAATTTTATATTTGATTCATCATTTCCATCATTTACGACAACGTGTACGCGACACAGTACCAATTTTGGGCGTTGTGGGGTGCTTCTCCTTCCCTATGCGTAACCGACTCCCGAACCCGTTAAATATGATTTCTGGTAAATGCAGACCATTTTTCTTTAAAATGATTTTTCTTTAAAATTGTTTTAAAAAGGCGTTTTTAGGTATTCGACCTACCTAACCCAAAGGTCGATGGCGACTCCCTTTTCCATTTTATTTCAATCAATTCAAAATCACCGATTTTTCCAAAATAAAGTCATAATCGTTTTTTAAAATAATATTTAATTGTTTTATGAAAAAAAATGGTTATGACAGGTTGGCGACTCCGCTGGGGACTTTTTTTAGAGAGTCAGGCTGTATGTCGTTTACACATTGTCGTCTTAGTGGAAATTATAAGTTTGAGTACATAGTTAACTTATGATCCGTTTATTGAAATTTTTAATTGCTTCATTTTTAATTATCATACTAACATTTTATCTTTTTGCTTTCAGCTCTGTCCAAGTTTTTGTCGAGTTTTTTCTTTTCATTTTGAGTCAAAGGTAGGTATGTTCCTCCTCACACACATCACTCGCATTGGCATAACATAAGCTCTAGACACGAGCTTCGATCCAAATTAGTTGGGGTGAATGCTTCACTCTCGTAAGAATTTATTCTTCGTATGAGTTTTAGCAAATAACCCATGGGATACATACTTTATACCTTCGTAGGGATTTATTCCTCGTACGGGTATAAGACAGTGAATCCCCTCGAATTGAACTCGTTCCGTTTGAAACCTGTAATGGGTGAGGATCGAGGGTCTGGCAGCCCAAGGGGGCACCGACATCAAGGACAATTCGAGTCCCTTTTTTCCGTTAGAGCCGAAACCAAGCATATAGTGAACCGTCGAACGATCACCCTAGGTATAGTCATACCGAACCTTTGTCCGTCAGTAGGTACCCAAAATAGGTGTACACGAAGGAGGAACGACTCTAAACCTTAACCTTTTAAATTTGTAGAATTTTTTTTTCCCGAATAAAGCATGCGAACTAGACACCATGCGGTTAGGACCAATTTCTTGAATGAAAATAGATCATTTTGGGTAGATAGCATGTCCGGGTAGGATTGTTATTTAATTGAAAGCATGTTTGGGTAGATATCATGTCGGGTAGGTGTTATATTCATCTTTGAATAACATTTTTATCCGTATCAATTATTTTACATGTACTAACTTATTTTTCTCTTTTGTTTGTGTATACTAACTTATTTCTTCTCTTTTGTTTGTGTCATTTTGTCATTTGCATTGCATTGCATTGCATCATCATAATGTAAAAGTGTTGATCCGTAAGGGGATATTCGAGAGAAAATTTTCACAAGAAGAGATAAAAGTTTTCAATCAAGCGATCGCATATACAGACATGCATCGAGGGCTAAAAAGAAGTCCAGAGTACAAGAATGAGATTTTCTCGAAGATCGTGCATCATTCGAGACTGATATGATAATCCACTGATCTACGGAGTAATCCAGCAGTAGATTCTCATCCACAATTATTCCATCGTTAACCATCAGGGAGTGAAGCACAAACTTCAGCATAGACGAGGTATTAATGGAGTTAGTTTACAGAGCATTGAGGGGCATCGGTTCCAAGTACAAAGATCCGAGACGAAGCAGTGAGCTCGAAGATCGTGCATCATTCGGTACTGAGATGATGATCCACTGATTCAAGGAGTAATCTAGCAGTGGAGTCTTATCTACAATCATTTCATCGTTAGTTATCAAAGAGCGACACGCCGACCTCACTACCACCGAGGCATTAACGGAGTCAGATTACAGAGCGCTTGAGGGGCATCATTATTGAGGACGAAGATCCGATATGAAGCAGTGATCCATTCCAGGCTCACCATCTAAGCGAAGACATGTCTGTAAAGTGGACTGTCTTGTAATGTGAAATTTTTTATCTCTGGTGGGAATTGTTCTACGGTATTTATCGTTGGGATCAATATTTTTGCATCCGCATTTGTATCATTGCATTTTATTCAACATTCATTTAAGCATTGTTACGTGCATTAATCATACCTTGTGGGAAACGTTGAGGAAGCGCTTCTAACTGTGCAACTGCATTCACACAATATTGAAAATGGATGCAAAATTTGAGGAATTGAAGAAAGAGCTGAACGAGAGTTTGCAAAAGTTGCAAGCAGAGTGGGAGGTTAAAATGGAGCAGATGCAAAAGACCACCGTGGATCGTATCTTGCAAAACCAAAAAGACCTAGTTGACCAAATGGTAGCAAAGATGGCTGAGCTCAACCAAGAAAAAGGCAAAGAAAAGATTTCATTGACCCGTGAAACAGTTAAATGTGTGAAAGCACAGGCTAGTTCGCAACCAATTATCTCGCCCAACAGGATTCCTAGTCACCTAGCGACGAGAAGAGCCAAGAACGAGATCCCAGATAATTTGAAACAGTGGTGCAGAGACATTTTCCATGGAATGAGAGGACAAAACTCTCACAACGGGATGGATGCAACAGAACTAGTACTAGTTCCTAACCTGGTGCTTCCGCCCAAATTCAAGATGCCCGAGTTTGAAAAGTATAGTGGAACCAGTTGCCTTAATGCCCACCTCACGATGTTTATTCGAAGGATGACTGGATACACTAACAATGATCCGATGTTGATCCACTGTTTCCAAGATAGTTTGATTGGACCCGCTTCTAGGGGTATAATCAACTGAGTCATACTCAAGTCCGCTCCTGGAGGGATTTGGCTAGTGCTTTTCTGGGCCAATACAAGCACATGATTGATGTGGCCCCCGATCGAACAATGCTTCAGAATATGAAGATGAAGAATTATGAGAGTTTCCGACAATATGCTCAACGATGGAGGGATGTCGCATCTCAAGTGCATCCACCAATGACTGAAAGAGAGTTCATCACTCTATTCATCGATACATTGAAGTCTCCATATATCGACTACATGATAGGGGTTGCCACTAAGAGTTTTTCTGACATTGTCATGTGTGGAGAAATGATCGAAAGAGCAGTCAAGAATGGCCAGATAGGAGGCACTAGTCATTCCGACAATGAGGAAAGAGATGATATTAACATTGAAGGATCTTATCTAGCTAATCTGGGGACCAAACCTCATAAGGCATTCTGTCGCATCAATCCAATCCCAATGACATATGAGGAATTGCTCCCAATGCTAGTTGAGAGGAACCTTGTGACTCCAGTTCAATCCAAACCAAGAGAGACCCCATATCCTGAAGGCCATGATATTAACACCATATGCAGCTATCATGTTGGGAGCTCGGGGCATACCACTGACAACGGCAAGACACTAAAGCACAAAATCCATAATATGATTTATTCAGGGGTATCCTAATACTAAGCCAGAGAAGTCATTGCATCAACCACTTGCATCCATAGAGATTGTTTTGTTTGAACTCGTTTTTGTTCTTTCTTCAATGTTTGCTTAAATATTTTTAATCTTTGATGACTGAAATGATGCTACCTTCTAAGGTTAAATAATTGAACAAATTTTAATCTTTAGTTCTTTGAATATCGAATGAATTACATATTCTTTTAATTCTTCAAGAATTATAGATTTTTGACATATGGCAAGATTAGACCTATTTTATCCTGTCTAAAACCCAAAATAAAATCTCTCAATTTTTACCCGAAATAATTCCTGGTCACTACCAAATAACCAATTTTTGACATTCTATT